CCTCCACCACAAGCACCACCACCAACCACAGCTCCTCCACCACAAACACCACCACCAACCACAGCTCCTCCACCACAAGCACCACCACCAACCACAGCTCCTCCACCACAAACACCACCACCAAGCACAGCTCCTCCACCACAAGCACCACCACCACCAAGCACAGCTCCTCCACCACAAGCACCACCACCACCAGGGACAACAATGCCATCATCTTTATAAATATATTCGAATGTCTGCTTTACACTCTTCACTGTCCATTTCAACACCGTTGAACTGAATTAAACTAAACTTTGCAAGCTTTGCTCATAGGCTATATCGAGTTTCCATTTTAAAGATCACTGTTTTTAGGGTAACCCCCATTGACCGCGGAGGCCCCATCATAACCCACCCATTCCGGGTGGACCCTGGGTACCCTATGTAATAGTGGTGAATCAGTCCTATGTTATGACCGTCTACGTGAAGCTGTACGAAACGAAAATTCGGATTATGATGAAGCTGTGAGAGCCCGGAAGGGTCAGCTGTGTTTATGTAGGGAAGATTTGGCCGCTGTTCTTCAACGGGACAACGCCGAGCACCTCGGGTAGTCAAGCAATATAACAACCAGACTGACACTTGAATGCCTTACGGGCTCACCATAACCCGTGCTACATGGACATTTATAATAATAATAAATAATGTTTATTCAGGTAAGGTACATACATACAAGAGATTTTACAAAATTGGATAGATTTATAGATAGAGCTAGTACATACAATGCCTAAAGCCACTATTACGCAAAGCGTTTCGGGCAGTATTTCGTTCTGAGTAGGTAAATTTAAAACAACAACTTGAATGCCTTATCTTATCAGTACTGACCATCATTAACACTCCTGACGACTCCATATTATCAACACCTGTAAAATGCAAGAGAAGCAATAATTGCAATAAGGATACTAACAAAGAAAGAGAACTTGCAGAAGCGCGAGGCAGGAAGAGGGAGAGTCATTAAGAAGAAGAGTAGTAGCAGAGACGGTGGAGAGGAACAAGCGTGGATGTTGACACAGTGTTTCCCTAATTATCTCTACTTGATCTTTAGCTCAATCCTTCTCTCTCATTCTCCATTCTCTTTCACTCTCCATATGATTGCAGCGCGCGTCTGTAAGGAGTTGAGCACTCGACATAACAAAATGACTTAACAGTCCTTTAATTGTGGATTGTCTAATATTGGAGTGAAGGACTTAGGGAACTGATGAGTTAGTAGCATGATGCGATTGTTGTTTGTTGTTTAAGATTCGCTACTTGGAACAAAAAGTTCCAAGTAGCACGGGCTATGGTGAGCCCGTAGCAGTATGTTCCTGATTTCCTGTTATCAACATTTCAGTCCGTCCTCTAAAAACGATATATCAGTACTTATATCAACTATTTTGTCCAGCATACCCATATTTCAACCCGTCCTCGACTCAAGTCCATTACATTCAGCGGTCAACCCCACAGACGCATTCATATATTTTAACATGCTGTTCATTCAAAACGGGAATTTTCTCAAGTATAAATTATTATTATAATATATTAGCATATTGTGTATAAATAGGCATAGGTTAGGTTAGGTTAGGTGTTTAGGTTCTGTTGGTGATTATTTGTATTTGTAGTACGTGGGTGAAACATTTACAGCGTTGTGGTTCGAACAAAATTCGTCAGTGAAGCACTTGTTCCGGATATGTTCGAACGTCAGCAGTTGTGAGTCGTGTGTTAACCGCTTTTCATTCATAAACAGGGGGTTTGGCGGGTGGATGGAATCACTTTTGGATCTTTGTTTGGAGGACGGGCTGCATATTTACTGTTCGACCGCCGAAAAAGATTCACTTATTTCATTACTGAATTAGTCCAAATGGCCTTCTAGAAAAATTCAAATCTGAAGAACCTAACCTGACAAGCAATCCTAGGCCTAATAAACGCTGGCTTAAGCCTAATATAATACCTAACTGTGCTATACTAGGCCTATGAATGTTTAAGTTTGGTTTTTATTTTAGAAAGATGAGTTGTGATATTTCTACCCATTACGACAAACTGTACAAGCTTTCTGAAGGTATTTTGGGACCTTTATATTCCGTTCTGGATAATTAACACGGTAACACAGAATTTGCACCATTAGTTAACTAAATATTTATGCAGAGTATTCACGTTGATAATTTTCAAATTTGAGTTTAATTTAATTGTTTAAGACGAGAAAATACTGCTTTATTATGGAGGCACAATGTCATTAACGAAAATACTAGCCAAACAAAACAATGAAGTGAACTATTATATATAGCTAAAAAAAAGATATTAATTGTTAATGATGATTACACATTAGTTATGGAGCAACACCACTAACTTGTCTAGCCAAAAGAACACTGGGACCCCCATGATGTGCTTGGGCAATCATCCCACCACCTCACACACCGCGAGTCTGGGATGCATGATGAACATCATACCAACCAAGGCAGCAGGAGGGTAGTGAGTGTTGAGGCGTGTAGGAGGTAGGGCGGGTCGGGCCGGGCCGGGCGAGGTCCACACTGTTTTATCACTACAAGGACTTCCTGGATCATCAGAAAATATTGCTGAACGCTTCCCCTCTGAGCGAACTCCCCCTCCTCCTCTTCTTGTGCGCCACGGTGTATCTATTCGATATTTTTTTAAAGGAAAATGATTTATATGACGCATTTAATATCCGGATACCAACTTGGCGACGCCGAGTGTCTCGTCCTTCCACGATACGTGCCATGGAGAGGTACTACCAGAGGACTGCTGGCATTGTTCTGGACGCTTGTCAACGGTAACCAAGGCGTATATGGAGGGACAAGGACACTGTATTTGACATAAGAATGTATAATGTGTTTACGATGATAAAATGCCTCACCCACTTCTGGTTTACCAAACTTGTAAATAGACAAAACCGCACTTTGTGTCAAAATTCGGTACACTATCATCAGACACTTTTACGTCAGATAAATTTGGGTTAAACTTTTAGCATTTTTATATTCTTTGGATTGTGTATAACTATTAAACGCATAACAATATATTGTATCTATAGTGCATCCTTTTAACTCAATTAAAAAATTAAGCACATGAAAATTATAGAAGCTTTACAATATTTCGGTTAATAAGACTAACACGAGAAACTATAACTGAAGCTCAATAACATTCCTTTAACTTAAATCTGAAAATATTAACAAATCTTTTGTTGAAAGTTTTGTCAACACACTATTCTGCAACAAATTCCCACGTGCAGAATGAACAACGAATTGCTGATTAAAAATGACCTTCAACATGGGCGTCACCTAGTAGCCAGAACGCACTTTACAGCCTACTATGCAAGGCCCGATTTGCCTAATAAGCCAAGTTTTCATGAATTAACGACTACCTAACCTACCTAACCTAACCTAACCTAACTTTTTGTTACCTAACCTAACCTAACCTATAAAGATAGTTAGGTTAGGTAGGGATGGTTAGGTTCGGTCATATATCTACGTTAATTTTAACTCCAATAAAAAAAATTGAACTCATACATAATGAAATAGCTTTATCATTTCATAAGAAAAAAATTAGAGAAAATATATTAATTCAGGAAAACTTGGTTTATTAGGTAAACGGAGGCCGAGAAGTGCGTTCTGGCTACTAGGTGTATATATATATATATATATATACACACACAATTTTATGATGCATATAATATTGTTACAATACACAGACGAAGATTGTATCGAAAATTTACGTCTTCTGAATATATTATTGTATGTTACAGACTTTAGTAACACAAGCTGAGATCAAAACAATATTTTTTGTACAAGCCTCATTCACAGGCCATTACTGCTTTGGACAGGTAAATTTATATTGTTTATGGCGTCAATATATTTTACATTAGTGACAGTCAAGACTTGTGACGGTTGAAGCTGATGACCAGATCACATACTAGAAGGTGAAGGGACGACGACGTTTCGGTCCGTCCTGGACCATTCTCAAGTCGATTGTGACGGTTGTATAACAGGTTGTAACTTGTGAGACACTTGACCTGTGTGACTGACTGTGACGATTATAACCTATAATTGTGATTGTGAAGGTTGTGCGTGACAATTATTTCTTACACTGGCGAGGTGGTTGTGAATTGTGTGACTGAGGTTTATATAATATTTGGGTTACGGTCGCGAGTTATAAGTGCTAATTATAATCAGTAAAATATTTGCAAGAAGACAGGAGTTAACTTTGTGGTGATTGTCAGTGCTGATTGAAACAGCGGAGCGGCGACCATTTTGGGCGAGTTTGGGAATTCCTTGCTGAGTGAGTCCCTGACAAACACTGTAGTCTGGGATACTAGGGCCAGTGTCCAACGTTATGTGGTCATTTGGGTATATATAGGTCTCCAAGTTTCCTTGACGACATTAGGGGGAGGGGGGAAAGGTTGTCTGGGTATACAGGTCCCCAAGTCTTTCAGCGAACATAACGTGGATGGTTGTCCAGGAGTGTACACGTAAACCCAGTGTAGACTTCCGTTAATGGCGGATACCATTTTAGTTTGGGGTGGGGGGTTTACAGAGGAACATCGTCCAACATCGTCACCACAGTTACGTTACCAATAAAAAACTGGAAATGTATATGTTTATCTCTCAGAATGTTTGGTAATATGTTTATTGTTTGTGATGTGTGTTTATGTATGTATTAACACGATGTACTGAACGGGGTGAGAATAGCTTGAGCTACCTCATCCCTTTGTGTGTATTTTACCTCAATAAACTAATTTCAATTTCAATTTCAATAAAGAACAATCAAAATATTGATTCGAATACACTGACTAATTTCTTCATTAGCATGTAAATGTAATATATATAATCATTCACAAAGTTTACATAAAAGCATTAACTGAAATATGTATTCAAAGTTGTAATATGAAAAGTAAAACTGTAAATGAAGTGTGTAATCAAAATGGAATGTTGGGCATTGTCTTGCGTGTGTGAAGCTCATCGCTCGTCTTCTCCTTACAGATGAGGGGCGGGAAGACCACTACGACCTTGGCTACCACCACGTGATCCAGCATCACCACGTAACTCAATAAGAGTAGACAGAAAAGTCTTCAGTGTGATGTAAGTGTGGCGGTACACAACGTCGTGTTGCATCATGGGAGGAGCAACCCAATGACGGCAAAAAAGCAGAAAATCCATAGTGATAAAGTGCGAAGAGGCGGCAGTGGACTAAGTAGTGTGGACTGGACGGCGGTCCAGGGCGCACGCACTCTCCTGTGTCACTCGCGGCGTGTGTGGGGAGGACCCTCGCCACCCACACCTCTGCTCCACACTACCACCATGAGGGTTCTACTCCTGGTAAGTACCACTTCTCCTCTTATGTACCACCTCTGCTCCAGACCACTCTTAGGCAGTAAGTTACACTTCCCGCGTTACACTTCGCCGTGACAACAGACATGTGCTTGCACTAGTGAAGAAGGAACATGTCCCGCTCGGGGCCAAAGTTCACCCCATTTTCCCAGGCAGTCTAATAGTCTTCACGGTGGCAACACGCGTGAGAAGTGGATTATACTTCGCGTGCGTGCAAAATTGTCATCAATAAAAATAGACATAAAATATAGTCCAGATAGTTCACACACTTAAACCTCAGAGGTAGGAGTCTACACCGCAAGATCCCAGAGTCTACAGGAGCCTGGCTCTCGTACCCAGGCCAGGGATTAGTTAGTTTTGGCGGCCTTGTATAATGACAGTAGTAGATGGGGGCGCTTGTGTTGGTCCTCACTTGTAGGAGTTGGTATCACAGGCACGTATATATGTTCCCAGCAGTCTGTGTCTACCTTCTCCCCCCCCCACCCTCTCCCTACACACACACACACAAGCGTACAACCCTGTAGCCTATGTGTAATACGACCCTCATATGTATTCATACTTACAAAAATCTGTGTATTTTTTCCTTTTGTATTCAATTGTTTTTAATAATTGAAATATTTTTATTATTTCATTATAAATAATAAATTATATTATAAATAATGAATTTTATTTTGTTTTATCGTCACTAAAATTACTTTGAGATTTGCTTGTTAGAACTATTTTTTTTCTGTACAGTTGTAGCAAAGAGTAGACTATACTTTTATTGGGGTCTGTTGTCTGTTATTGGCCATTCATTTATCAAATTTGTGAATAGAGCGACAGAATGGTTTGGTCAAATGCGTTCCACAATTTCGCGTATATTACATGATTTAAAGCGTGGGAACGGTTCCGTTCGTGGAAAGGGAACATGAGACTTGTCTCGTAGTCACATATTGCACCGCTAGTTTGGTAGTTTGTTCTTAAGGTAGGGACTTGTAGAGAACCTAAATTGGTGAAGGAGGGTTAGGTCATTTTTGAACTTTTGTAGAATAGACATCCAGACCCTCCAACACATACTCTCCAACACCGACCCTCCAACACACACTCTCCAACACCGACTGTCCAACACCGACCCTCCAACACACACTCTCCAACACATACTCTCCAACACCGACCCTCCAACACACACTTTCCAACACCGACTGTCCAACACCGACTCTCCAACACACACTCTCCAACACACACTCTCCAACACCGACCCTCCAACACACAACAGGGAACAGCCTACCTGTAACGATTCGAGAAAGAGACCTGGGAGTGGATGTGACACCTAATCTAACTCCTGAGGCACATATAAATAGGATAACGACAGCAGCGTACTCTACACTGGCGAAAATTAGAACTTCATTCAGAAACCTAAATGAGGAAGCTTTTAGGGCGCTTTACACTGCCTACGTGAGACCCGTCTTAGAGTATGCCGCGCCATCATGGAGCCCCCACCTGAAGAAACACATAAAGAAACTGGAGAAGGTTCAGAGGTTTGCGACGAGGCTTGTCCCAGAGCTACGAGGGATGGGATATGAAGAGCGGCTGAAGGAACTGAACCTTACGACACTAGAGAAAAGAAGGGAGAGAGGAGATATGATAGGGACATATAAAATACTCAGGGGAATTGACAAAGTGGAAATAGATGAAATGTTCACACGTAATAATAACAGAACGAGGGGACATGGGTGGAAACGGGAAACTCAGATGAGTCACAGAGATGTTAGGAAGTTTTCTTTTAGCGTGAGAGTAGTAGAAAAATGGAATGCACTTGGGGAACAGGTTGTGGAAGCAAATACTATTCATACTTTTAAAACTAGGTATGATAGGGAAATGGGACAGGAGTCATTGCTGTAAACAACCGATAGCTAGAAAGGCGGGATCCAAGAGTCAATGCTCGATCCTGCAAGCACATATAGGTGAGTACATATAGGTGAGTACACACTCTCCAACACCGACCCTCCAACACACACTCTCCAACACAGACTCTCCAACACCGACCCTCCAACACACACTCTCCAACACAGACTCTCCAACACCGACCCTCCAACACACACTCTCCAACACCGACCCTCCAACACAGACTCTCCAACACAGTGTCTGGCGGAGCCTGGCGGCTGAGTGGACAGCGCTCGGTATTCGTAGTCCTAGGATCCGGGGATTGATCCCCGGCGGAAGCGGAAACAAATGGGCAGTTTCTTTCACCCTGATGTGCCTGTTCACTTAGCAGTAAATAGGTACCTAGGAGTTAGACAGCTGCTATGGGCTGCTTCCTGTGTGTGTTGTGTGTGTGTGTGTGTGTGTGTGTGTGTGTGTGTGTGTGTGTGTGTGTGTGTGTGTGTGTGTGTGTGTGTGTGGGTGTGTGTGTGGAGAGAAAGAAAATCAGTTGAAAGGCGGGTCCAAAGAGTCAGAACTCAACCCCCGCAAGCACAACTAGGGGAGTACAGCAAGGAAGAGGGGGTAGAACTATCCTAAGCAACTCTATCCCTCTGCGATGTTTTTTTTCTTGTCTCAATAAACATACTTGAACTTGAAGTACAACTAGGTGAGTACAGATCCTCCAACACAGAACTGTGGAACAGCCACATTTCTTGGGTAGGAAAGTCTTGATGTACAGTACATTAATTTTGACTCTCACTAGATCCACAACCTTTTCTTGAATTTTGTCTAGAAACGTGAGATAAGACTGGGCTAGTGGAGTCTTTATTATAGAGAGTCTATTATAGATTATTATAGAGAGTCTATTATAAATAACGTTTCTAGTGCTGCTGGCATTTTTAAAATTCCCCATTCATCTTGTCCTTTCTAACACTGATGAAACTGGTCGTACTATTAATGAAAGAACACACAGGAAGTATTAAACTTGTATACATCAATGGTGCTCGCTTCTGTCATGTTTAAGATTCCAATCATCCTGAAGCTTGGTCTTCTTCCAAAATAATTTTTTATGGATCTAATCTCCACAGATGTCTCTTTGAACCGATTCTCGTGTACAACATGAGCCTAAGTCGTGGTTGTGTTGATGTTGACACCTGCACACGACATAGTTCAATGATCGTCTTAGCATTCGTGATCTGACTTAAAACTATCTGTGTTGTGCTCTCCTTCTCTCTTCTATTCTCACCTCTGTGTATTTTGGTTCTGTTTTATTTCACCTTAATTCCTTTTCGTGTTTCTTTTCGTCTCTTTCTGCTTGCTTTGTTTAGCTTTCCTTTCTTCTCTTAAGGATCAGCCATTAACTCCGTTATCATGCTTTACCTCTCCTCTTTCCCCTCATCTTCCCTCTTGCCTTATACTGACTTTCGCTACCTCACCACTTGATAAGGGTTCAGGACGGACGGAAACGTATTCACTCTCATATAAATTGTCATCCACACTTCCGTCGAAAAAAAAATTCCCGGGAAGGAGTATTCACTCTCATTCGTGTGGGTTGTGGGTGTTGGGTTATTTGTGGGTTATAGAGTTGCACATTCTGCAGTATCCAGGTGATCACAACCTTAGTAAACAGTCTAGTTACCAGGGGCATTTGGTTTCAACATTTATATTATAATTCATTTGTTTAAGTATTCACGATATGAATACCTTATAGCGGAGGCCTGGTCGAGGACCGGGCCGCGGGGACGCTAAGCTCCGAAATCATCTCAAGGTAACATCAAGGTAGCTTGGACATGTTTAATTCATTTTCTTTCATTCTTTCTTGTGAGAGGTTTCCGTAATACACCTTACGGAAACCTCATCGTACTGTTCAGTTACATCTAGTAAAACATATTTACGGACATTTTTCTTTTACATGATATCGTTTGTATTTTAAGATAACCCTGGCTTACGGTCCGGGAGGAGGGGTAGTAAGTAATCTTGCCCCCTGAGCATGGTTGTGGTTGTCCAAGGTTGTGGTTGTCCAGGGTTGTGGTTGTCCAAGGCTGTGGTGGTCCAAGGTTGTAGTTGTCCAGGGTTGTGGTTGTCCAAGGCTGTGGTGGTCCAAGGTTGTGGTTGTCCAGGGTTGTGGTTGTCCAGGGTTGTGGTTGTCCAAGGTTGTGGTTGTCCAAGGTTGTGGTTGTCCAGGGTTGTGGTTGTCCAAGGTTGTGGTTGTCCAAGGTTGTGGTTGTCCAAGGTTGTGGTTGTCCAAGGTTGTGGTTGTCCAAGGTTGTGGTTGTCCAAGGTTGTGGTTGTCCAAAGTTGTGGTGGTCCAAGGTTGTGGTTGTCCAAGGTTGTGGTTGTCCAAGGTTGTGGTGGTCCAAGGCTGTGGTGGTCCAAGGTTGTGGTTGTCCAGGGTTGTGGTTGTCCAAGGTTGTGGTTGTCCAAGGCTGTGGTTGTTCAAGGTTGTGGTTGTCCAAGGTTGTGGTTGTCCAAGGTTGTGGTTGTCCAGGGTTGTGGTTGTCCAAGGCTGTGGTTGTCCAAGGTTGTGGTTGTCCAAGGTTGTGGTTGTCCAAGGTTGTGGTTGTCCAGGGTTGTGGTGGTCCAAGATTGTGGTGGTCCAAGGCTGTGGTGGTCCAAGGTTGTGGTGGTCCAAGGTTGTGGTGGTCCAAGATTGTGGTGGTCCAAGGCTGTGGTGGTCCAAGGCTGTGGTGGTCCAAGGCTGTAGTGGTCCAAGGTTGTGGTGGTCCAAGGCTGTGGTGGTCCAAGGTTGTGGTGGTCCAAGATTGTGGTGGTCCAAGGTTGTGGTGGTCCAAGGTTGTGGTGGTCCAAGGCTGTGGTGGTCCAAGGCTGTGGTGGTCCAAGGCTGTGGTGGTCCAAGGCTGTGGTGGTCCAAGGCTGTAGTGGTCCAAGGTTGTGGTGGTCCAAGGTTGTGGTGGTCCAAGGTTGTGGTGGTCCAAGGCTGTGGTGGTCCAAGGCTGTGGTGGTCCAAGGCTGTGGTGGTCCAAGGCTGTAGTGGTCCAAGGTTGTGGTGGTCCAAGGTTGTGGTGGTCCAAGGCTGTGGTGGTCCAAGGCTGTGGTGGTCCAAGGCTGTAGTGGTCCAAGGTTGT